TATATTAATTTTGCCTTCTTATAAAGATCAATGAAATTGAAATATGTTCATTGTGGATTATAGACTTTATTCAGACCGCCATCGTGAGGTCAACCAATTTAATGCACTCTTCTTAATGTTTCTTTTACATATTACTCTATTTTTAAACATTAGTTGTGAGACCCGTATATTATACGGGTTGATTATAACAAAATGTTAAATACGAACGATTAAATGGGAAGTTTTTTTGAATTTGAATTTTGAAATAAATGAAAATTATGAGAAAAAAAACATGAAAAATATAAAAAATAAAATATTAAAATTATGTGTTTAGTTATCCGACCCGTGTACTAAACGGGTTAATTACATGGGCGAGGTCACTTACAAGCAAGGTGGGTCCTATGACCCACCTAATTTTTTAATTTTATATAGTATTTGTATAGAAAAAAATAGGAACTACCTTCAAAAACGAATTAAGACCTACCTAATACTATTTGACAAAATAAGAAAACAAATAAATAAAAAAAATAATGGAAGACTTATATTTAAATTTCAAAGCAAATGGTTAATACTTTCAAAACCTATCACACATCGGAGATAAAGAGAGAGCTGAAGTTGTTTGATGTTATAAATATAAATTATGAATATTTATTATGAAAATTAAACAACAACACAACTCCTCTCATATTGTTGGTCGTACAAAATGGTTGTTGCAAATGAACTTTTTAAAAAGAAAAGATACTCGGTCGTGCAAATTAGTCGATTTTACCAATTTTTAGCTATTCTATCAGTCCGATTGAACTCGAGTTTTTACAAATCGGTTGTTTTTTTATTGGTTCGACTCGACCCAATCTGTCATATATAACGTTGACTCTTTGGTTTTTCCGTCTGCACATAATTAGGAACCACATGAAATTATATTTTAGATTCGTCACTGGTTAATTATAACAAAATATTAAACACAAGGTTTAAATTGTAAGTATATTTGAAATTGAAATTAAAATTTAAAATTTAAAAACTATATTAATAGTCATTATGGTAAGTTTAATTTATGGAAACTAATTAATGATATATATTAGTAATGAAAAATGAAATAAATGACAATTGAAAAATAAATATATTTTAAAATTATGACAAAATAACATGTGTCAAATTGAATAAGAGAATGACATGTGACATAATCATTCTTATTTATTAGGGTAGATATATAATAATATATTTTACTAATTTATACATCGAAATAAAGATAATATTTATAAATATAATATAAGATATTTCTTTAGTACAAGAAGATAATAAAATATACGACGTTAATAACATGTTAAAAATGACATTAGTTACATATGCTTATAACATAAACATAAATAAGTTGCTTTTTTTCAAGTATAACAGCGTAATAACAAAAAGTTGAATATATAATGGTATAATTGATAGATTTTTCAAATTATATTGTATTGAAAAAAATATATTATAGTTATAATGGTGTAATACACGAATAAATGAGAGTATATTACTATGTTTTGTGATTCATAACAATTATTTAAAATATGTTCATAGTTTTTTTATTAAGATAAATTCAGTTTGTATTTATTTCGAGAATGTATTTTAAAAATTCTTATTGTTTACACCTTAATATTAACACAATTATTTAAAACATGTAAATAGTTTTGTTTAGAGAAATCAAACATCCTCATATTTTTTTCTCCTATTATCTTCTTACACATTTAAGATTGTGATCAGTATTATATTTAGGGTGTGTTTGGGGATCACTTTTTAAACTTAAAAGTTGTTTTTATAAAATAATTTTTTGTAAAAGAATTTTTTCTAAAAATAGTGTTTAAAATATGTTTGGCTTGACTTTTAATACTTTTATGTGACAAAAGCCAAAAGTCACAAAAAGATAGAAATTCATATCTTTTGTCCAACCAATTTTTTCTTCTTAACTAAAAAGTTGATTTTAAAAGAAATTTTCAATTTACCAAACAACTTTTGATATTTTTTAACTTTTTGAAAAAAAGTTAAATGTCAAAAAGTTGATTAAAAAGGAATCTCAAACACCTCCTAATAAAATTAACAAATTTTTAATACACTTGTTATCATTTAAAAATAATAGATGATAGATAGAAACAATAAGTAGGATGATATTTGATTCTTTTATTAGTATAGATTGAATTACTTATTCATCATTTCGTTTTTATTTATTTCAAAATTTTACTTTAAATAATGTTTAATGTTTACACATTGATATTTAAATTTTTATTTAATCAATTTGTGTAATAAACTGATCTCAGACATAGTTTAAAAATAAAAAAACTCTATTGAACTAAAACTTACTATACTTTATTAATATGCGAACAATAAATAACCAAATCAATTTGAAATTTTATTTTATATATTGTATTTATTTTATTCATATGCAAACAATAAATAACCAAATCAATTTGAAATTTTATTTTATATATTGTATTCATCTATTATAAACACTAGTTGTAAGATCCATGTATTACATGAGTTAATTTAAAAAAAAAGTTAAATATAAAGGTCAAAATATTTAAGAACTTTAAATTTATAAGAAAATAAGAAAAATAATGAATTATTATAATGGAAATGTTTTTTTATCTTTTAAATTTAAACAAATAATTTAAATAAAGAAAATAGCTTTAATTTTAGGAATTTTGAAATTAAAAGATAAGTTTATTAATGAAATTGATATTCATTTATTACTACATTTATTGCAATAATTGTATTAAAATATTATGTTAAATTTAATAAAATAGAAAAAACTTATAACATGACATATGAAAAAAAATTAATTCAAAATAACCACAAAATAACATTTAACAAATTGATTGAGAATATGACAAGTGATAAAAAAAACATTCACTTATTAGAAATGATGATGATTATATTATATTATTATTATTGCTTCTTTCAAATTTCTAATTTTTTTTCGAAAAATTTGCTTAGTAGTATATGCTTATTAATAATTTTACCACATAAGTTTAATTCTGGATAATGACAATGACGTGGACATTTGTTTTTGTTATACACAGTTACACACTAAAGAGTTTGACTTAAACTAGGAAACCTTATTAAATTCTAATATATCTACAATACCTCAATGTCCATCATCGCCCTATAAATACATCGGCGATTCATCTTTTTCAAAGTACAAACCATTCATCTTCTCTTCTTCTTCACAACATTACATTGGAGTTCTCAGATCGAACGGAAGCTCAGGAAAGCAAATTGTCATGGCCGGCGGTGGAATTCCGACTTCTACAGGCGGCGACAAAGCTTACCCGGGAAACCTTACCCTCTACGTCACTTTTACTTGCGTTGTAGCAGCCATGGGTGGCCTCATCTTCGGTTACGATATCGGAATCTCCGGTACACTATTTAACATTCATTGATGAAGTATTTTATTTTTTATTACAGGGATTTTAACTGAAACGCTTGTATTCTTGAATGTTTACAGGTGGAGTTACGTCGATGAATCCATTCTTGCAGAAGTTCTTCCCGTCGGTCTACCGGAAGCAGATAGAGGACACCTCAACCAACCAGTACTGTAAGTTTGACAGTCAGATATTGACAATCTTCACGTCCTCTTTGTACTTAGCGGCGCTGGTGTCTTCACTGGTGGCATCGACGGTGACTCGGAAACTTGGTCGGAAACTGTCTATGCTTTTCGGCGGCATCTTGTTCTGTGCCGGAGCTCTGATGAACGGATTTGCTCAGGCTGTTTGGATGCTGATATTGGGTCGTATCCTACTTGGTTTCGGAATTGGGTTTGCTAATCAGGTAACTCATCGATCAAATGTATCTTCTCTCTTTTTTCTAACTATTTGTTTGATCCATAAATTCTTAATCTTCTTTGGTTTTCTCTTATACAATTTCAGTCTGTTCCATTATACCTATCTGAAATGGCGCCATATAAATATAGAGGGGCACTCAACATCGGATTTCAATTATCATGCACCATTGGAATCCTAGTGGCAAATATACTTAACTACTTCTTTGACATGATCAAAGGAGGGTGGGGTTGGAGGCTGAGTCTCGGTGGTGCTGTAATCCCTGCCTTGATCATCACCATCGGTTCTCTTTTCCTTCCCGAGACCCCAAACTCCATGATCGAGAGAGGTAATAAAGAAGAGGCAAGAGAAAAGCTTCGAAGGATTAGAGGTGTTGACAATGTCGATCAAGAGTTTTATGATTTGGTCATGGCCAGTGAAGCATCCAAGAAGGTTGAGCATCCATGGAGAAACTTGTTGCAGAAAAAATACAGGCCACAACTGATAATGGCTATCTTGATTCCAGCTTTCCAACAATTAACTGGGATTAACGTGATTATGTTTTATGCCCCCGTTTTGTTTAAAACCATCGGGTTTGGAGGAAAGGCTTCTCTTATGTCTGCTGTGATTACTGGTTCTGTAAATGTCATGGCAACTTGTGTTTCAATCTATGGTGTTGACAAGTGGGGAAGAAGGTTTCTTTTTCTTGAAGGTGGAATTCAAATGCTCATTTGCCAGGTATAATATTTTGATATTCATCGGAAACCAATTTTTAGTCATTTAAGATTCAACCATCATTATGATTACATTAATTGTTTTCTTTGAAACAGGTTGCAGTTGCAATATTTATTGGGAGCAAGTTTGGAATAGATGGGAATCCTGGTGACTTGCCAAAATGGTACGCTCTTGTGGTGGTGTTGTTCATATGCTTGTATGTATCTGGCTTTGCATGGTCGTGGGGTCCACTAGGTTGGCTTGTGCCTAGTGAGATCTTCTCACTTGAGATCCGATCAGCAGCTCAAAGTATCACTGTCTCCATGAACATGATCTTTACCTTCATTGTCGCTCAAGTGTTCTTGACGATGCTTTGCCACTTGAAGTTTGGGCTCTTCATCTTTTTTGCTTTTTGGGTGGTGATGATGACAGCGTTCATATACGTGTTCTTGCCTGAAACAAAGAATATTCCAATTGAAGAAATGGTGGTTGTGTGGAAGAATCATTGGTTTTGGTCAAGGTTTATGGTGGATGTGGAGTACCCGAATGGAGTTGAAATGACGAACGGAGGTCAGCTGGTCAAGGAGGTATAAGAAATCAAGATGGCATAGTTTGGGGACTCAATTGCATATCGATAAAGTTTTTAGTTTTTTTTTTTTTTTTTTTTTTTTGGTAATAGGTAGAAGTAAAATACACTTTTTTGGGCTTTGAAAAAGGTTAATATGAATATATAGTTTTAAATTTATATATTTAATTTACTTTAATATAATTTGTGCCTATTCACTGATCTGTTTAATTTCTCTTAAATCATAACATTGATGGTTTCATGATGGAAAGATCATGACATCATGTATTTAAGAAATAACATTGTTTAAATGTAGGGATGGTATTGGGATGGATATCATACGGGTATTAGTGATTTTAGTTTTTGTGACAATGACAAATCTAGTCAAATTCTTTAATTATGTCTTTGCTTAATCGCCAATTTTTTTTAAATAGCCAAAAATAGCCAAGAAAACCCTAAGTTTTTAAAATCACCTATGTTTCATACATGGTCTACGATTTAAGGGTTTATTAGTTTAGTATAAAAAAAAAAGAAAAAAAATCATTTGCACATATGAAACCGTAGGTGAAAAAATTATCTGCGGTATGCTCTCTACGAACTACGGTTTCCCAAATCATAGATAATAAAAACTACTGCTTCCTTTGAATAACTATTGTTTCATTCTAAAAACTATTGTTTGCTATGAATAACTACAGGGGCGGAGCTTCAACGATTGATTCGGGGGCCGGAAATATAATATGTATAAAAATTAGTAAGTAGGGGGGGCCACAGCCAAAATTTTATAGTTTTGGGTCTAAAATGTATAAAATGAAACTAAAATGACTATTTATAACCAAAAATTCAGGGGGGGCCACAGCCCCCCAGCCCTAATAAAGCTCCGCCAATGAATAACTAGTATTTTGTTCTTGGCTTTCAATTCTTTTTTTGATCAAACTACGGAATCAACCCAAAATACCTACCTTTACGTACAATTATATCAATATACTAATTTGAAAAATAAAACTTAAGAAAAAAAAGTTAACAGAAACTGTAGGTTTCGTAAGTCACCTTTGGTGTACAACCTGATAATGCATAATGTGTGCATTAACATGTTGTACACCGTACGTGACTTAAGAAACCAAAAGTTTCCTTTTTTTATTTTTTGTTTTTTCCAAAAAAAAATTACCTTAATCTAATAGATTTCATATTAAACAACAATAAGCAAAAAAAAAAAAAAACAAAACAAAACAAAAAACAAACAACGGAAGAATACAAGAAAATACATGATTATTTGGAGTCTTCATTGATAGAGTTCTATCTACCTTCAAAGAACGGAAAATGACCCAAAAGCAAAATTTCAAATTTATATATTATGGACTAATGGGCCGTCAAACAGTAGACGGACTTTGAAACAGTAGCTTAATGCCCAAACCGTAGTTCATTTAACATTTTTATGACCAAACCAGCCTAATGCCCAAACCATAGTTCATTTAACATCTTTATGACCAAACCGTATGTTTTTTGATGAAACTGTAGTTTTCTTTAAGTGTCTACTGTTTCATTGATTATTTTTTGTTAAAAACTAATTTTTGGCTATTTAATGAAAAGTAATTAGAAAAAATAACTATTTTTATCATTGTCTCTTGTAATTTGTATATCAAACTTGGTTTAGTCTTATCGAGTCGTTGGATAAATAGTCATAGGGTTTGTGGGTATACTCATGAATATCAGATATTCTATTTATGATAGTAACAAGTAAAAAAATTTGCGTTAATACTTTCATTACCTAAAACCCAATAACAATTACATCCAAATAATAACTTAACTTAACTTTTAATAACTTGAATTTCCATCAAAAAATTTAGCCTCTAAAAGTATATTATATAAATGTAATTATCACCATACAAAATTTATAATATATGAATTTCATAATAAACTTATTAAGATAATAACATAAATATTACTTGGAACGATAAATTCTTAAAAACTCCTATTAATGGTATGATGCATGTCGATTATCTTGTGTTTGAGTATTAAAAAGTTTAGATCAAAATATTATGGTATGAAGTTTATGACCAACGATTGAAAAAGATATGTACATATATCATATATCATATCTGAGATATAAAAAAGTAAAATATACTATCATTCGGTAGAAGTTAGAACTCTAAGGACGATTGAGACATCGAGATGCATAGAAACTTAGAAAGTAACTGCAATTTATTAGTATGTTTTTTCCAATTGGTTGTCCAAGATAACAACCCTTTTTAAATTTTATAAAAATATAATTTTTTTCCTCCCTTATACCCACCCTTCCTATGCCTATTTGTTAGGGTCAAACCCAAACATTTGAGTCATTTATCATCCATTTTCTTAAAAATGAATCTGATTTGTCTAGAGTGTGATAAAATTTAAATAAATAAATAAAATACAGAATAAAAATAAAATAAATAGTTTTAAAAAGTAATAACAATAATATTGGTAATTTATTCATTTATAGAGTCTAATTAATGTGAATTATATTTATTTAGGTCAAATTTGAAAGTTAGGCTTAAAATGGTAAATTTCACAAAAATCTAGTATTTGACCAAAGTTTGACTTGACTAGATTTTAAGGGCCATTATGTTAAGATACATGATAGTGAGGGATTAGATATGAAACATTATGGAAAATAAGTTAGTTGGGTGAATATTAGACATGACTTGGAATTGATGGTATAAACTACAAATATTTGGAAGCTAGTTATGAGGTCTCACCATTTCTTCTCCATTTGAAAGAGGAAACGATTTGGATACGAAAGGAAGGAAGAAATAGCAATATTAAGAGCATGATAAGAGATTTAGGTAAGCAAGTGAAGAGAAATTGAATTAAAGAACCTAAAGATTGATTAGACGCTTGTAAGAGGCGTAATCTCCTTCATCTAATTTAATCTACGTTTGTGTAAGAACCTCATATCATAGTTTCTTCATATTAAGAGTGTCTTATTTTTATTTCTAACAAGTTTAACTTATAGACCATAAGTATAATCTCATGTTACTCATTCATTGCTCAATATTTGATTTATAATGATTTTTGGAGAGCTTCAAGCTACATTAATGGTAGATTTTGAATTCTAAGCTCTATATATGAGTTTAATGATGATTTAAAACCTGAATGATGTATTAAAACTAAATTGAAGCTAAGGAATCCATCCAATTGTTGAATGTTACATTGATGTATTTGTTGGTGAGTTTTCAACTTCGTTTGGTGTTCTATGTTAAATCATGCTTCATAAGTGATCTAGTTTTCGAAACAATAAACAACATATTAAACCTTATGAAGATCATTCATCTAATCAAGGGTAACTTTCATGCAACAATGATTTGAACTAACATTGTATTGATAAGAAAGGAAAGTTTATATGAACTCTATTTGAAGTTAAATGGATTTTGATCATTCAAAATGTCGAATAATCACGTATGAACCATAAATTCTTATGTAAAAAAGTTTTGGAATTATTGAAACTTATTTGGAACATTATTTGAAAAATGAAAGTCAATTAAAACCTATTTTGGAAAACATATGAGTCTAATCAAGATATGAGACTTAACTTGGAAGTTTGATGCATTGTGACTATTTAGTCAAGCTTTCAAGTATTAACTAACTTAAATTACTAAGTTATGAATGATTTAAGTTGTTATGTAGTAGTGTTGTAAGTAGTTAAGTTTAGGACACCATGAAAAATCATTTGGAAGCTTACTTTAGAAGAAGGGGTCTAAAGGTTTGTATCGATCGGATACACTTCAAGTATAAAGGACAAAAGTAAACTAATCTAAGCAAACAAAGAACAAAAAGTAAATATCACAGAGAGTTCTCCAAATTGTCTTCTACCAAGAAGGGGTTTGTCTTCACCAAGAAGATGGTTTGTCACAAAGACGGTCATCAAGACGAACTCTCTACATTAGGGTTTACCCTAATGTAGATTATATAGTAATCTATACAAGTATATCCCTTGATTAAAGGGATTGTATCTTATCTATACTAAGAACCGATCTTCATAACAAAGATATTTGTTATCTATTCTATACTTATCTATATCATTACCTAATATACAAAATATTACGTACAATAATTATAATAAGCGATGACTACACGATGACGCTGATGGACTTCATACACTGACGCTGGTGGTGTAGACGCTGACGCTTATATAGCATGTAGAGTGTTTGACTCAACAGATCATAAGGTGTAACCTTACAATCTCCCCCTATCTGATGATGTCAAAACTAATCTTCACTAAATTCTATAGCTCGTGCTCCCCCTAAGAGTAAGAATGAAATTTTAAGTTCTTCAGCGTTAACGAATGCTCCCCCCTGAGAAGGTGAATAACTTCGAGGCAACATTTATGAATCGCATCGGACGATGGACGGATAGGTAATGAGCTGGAAATGTTGATGTCATCTTGAATCCCCCTTAGATTATGCTTTTCTTTATCTAGTAGTTTTTTCTGCTTTAGCAAGATTCTCCCCCTTTTTGACATCAACAGAAAAATGGAACTGGAGGAGGATACCAGAGTATCAGAGTTGCAACTTGCAGTATAGTAAGATTGTGATATCTCCTGATATTATAGGTTTGAACTATCATTCATTAACATAATATTATGATATTTTATCAGCGTGTGGTTTGAGACACTGACTCATTAATCACTTTTATTAGAAGAAGAGGGCAAGAGTGGTATGATGCGTGTAATACATTCTGGTATGAAATGTATCCATCGAAAAAGAGTGTCAAATTTTTATCAGTGTATGGCTAATACAGTGAATCCTTAACTTCTTAATAGAAGCATTATTGGGAAAGAGTGGGTAGGTGCGCGTAATATATCATGGACAATGATATACCCATCGACAAAGATTTTCCGAATTCTCATCAGTGTTTGGAATCATATGCTGAATCATAAAATTCTAAAGAAGAATATATGGAAAGAATGGATTGATGCCTATGATAAGCTGTGGTGTTTTAATCTAACCATCTTCATAGATTTTTCAAGCTCTTATCAACATATGGTACATTACGCTGAATCATAAAACTTTAAAGAAGAATATAAGGGAAAGAATGGGTTGGTGGGTGTGATAGCCTACGTACATAGACTAATCATCGGCTTAGAGTTTCAAAGTTTTATCAGTGTGCGGTATATTACA